TTCCTTTAATTTGCTGAGAATTCAAGGAACGTGGTGCCTCAATTGCTCAGCAGTTAAAGACTTGGAAAGCTGACAGCCCAGGTTTGAGACCTGAGCTCTATGCAAAAGAGTAAGCTCCTATTCCTGTCCCAGCTCCTGCCCACCTAGCAGTTCAAAAGCATGAAAATGTGAGTAGATTAATAGGTACCACTTTGGTGGGAAAATAATAACCTTCCATGCACTGGCCACATGACCACAAAAATGGTCTTCAGATAACCCTGGCTCCCTCGGCCAAGGAATGGAGATGAGCATCATGCCCTAGAGAAGGACACCGCTGACAAGGAAATATTTATATCTAAAATAGTTCCTTTCTTGGGAAACTTAATCCTTTGTATGCTGCTTACATCCAATAGAATTCTCAATGGTGGTGTACAATAGAGGTAATCTACAAATCATCTACAACGGTGATCTTTTAGTCAGTTATTATTTACAACACTTGTTTATCACACTAAATAACATAAATAAGGACTTTCTTTTATGGGACTATTCTATCACAGCTTTATTAAGCAATTACATGTATTAACTCAACCTTGACATTTATCTCAATCACTTGGGAGTTGACTTTTGGACAGAGAAAATGAATGCATAATCAAAAGAATTATTGTTTGGCATTGAAACAGGAGCATATGGCTCCAACTAGTTAGCGATGTGCAGAATTGATGAATATATATGAACCACTTGATGACTGTAATGGCTTTAATTTTCAATATAGGCATATTTGTAAATGCATGTTATATCTGTATTGTTTTTTCCTTTTTTTCTTTTAACTTGGCTCTTAAAATTGTTTTAAATATCATCTCCAAAATGGTTCAGATTATTTTACACACTACTTTGAATATGTTGGAACATACGTCTATCCATTATCAATCTATCTAACAAGAACCAGGTGAATGCTGAATACTGCTATTTTCTCACTTATTCTAGACCCTGGTTTTATAAAGGCTGCAAGTTATCTAATATGCAACTCTAGTTCTATCAAGCTCAAATACCATGACAGGCACATGGTGATTCTTCCAAGCACATTGTTCCACACTTGACAAATCTTGAAGAATCTTGACAAACTGAAACACTCCACCATGTATATCAAACATATGCAATGAAAAGTATTAGGGAGAGGCTATCTTCACCCACTTTGTCTCATACAAACTTAATTGAGTTGCCTCTTATTCAGAATACAGAATAACAGAGTTAGAAGGGACAGTGGAGATCTTCAAGCAGGAGATCACCATATACCACCATTCCTCTGAAATGGCTGTCCAATCTCTCCTTGAAAACATCCAGTGTTGGAGCACCCACAACTTCTGGAGGCAAGCTGTTCCACTAATTAGTTGTTCTTGATGATAGGGATTTTTCCCCCTTAAGTCTAAGTTGGATCTGTCTTTGATAAGCTTCCAATCCATTATTTCTTGCCCTGTCCTCAAATGATTTGAAGAATAGGTTGACCCCCTCTTCTCTATGATAGTCCCTCAAATATTTGACTACTATCATGTTACACCTAGCCCTTCTCTTTGTTAGACTAGACATACCCAGCATCCCTCCCTTTTGGGAATTCAGACTTATATAGTCCATCACAAGTTCATACAAATGTGAACTATTTCCTTGATCAGTGGATCAACAGCTTCAATAGCTTTCTCTGGATTAAGTCACATATATTATTTAACGGTCTTCCAAAATATAGCATCTTAGACATGATTTATTATTATAACTTAGAAGAACCAGAATTTCCAACCAACCTAATACATCTGGGGGAACCTAAATTGAGAAACCTGCCAGATAAGAGTCCATCTATCTCAACAGTAACTAGAGTCTACATCAGTTGGAGGGGCAGAGAAACACCATGTTAAGTATTTTACAATCACAAAATAGATGTGAGTGCCACACCAAAAAAAAATCCCCATTTGTAATGCAGGTTAGAGTGAAACTACACCATATACATTCATTAGCTGACATCTATAACAACTAAAAGTATACCACTAGCAGCAAAAACCCAATCAAAGCCACTTCACTTCCCCCAGAGTCTGTTGGAGTAACTAAATCTTCATAGACTTTCTGAATGCCCTGAGGGAAAAGTCCATTTGAAAGTGTGGAGAGATTTTATTCCAAAGGAGCAGAACAGCTGAAGATATGTAAAACAAGAAGGTGAGAAGAAAACAAATTCAAAACCATAATACCAGGTTTAGACTGTAAACGGGCAGCTGGTTGATGGGTTTTTGAGTCTTTGCTTTCTATTTTGCTCTTCACAGTTGCCTGCTTGCAATTCCACGGGATGTAATATCTTTTAGGATTAGGTTTTGCAAGGGAAAGGTGAACAAACTATTCTTGAATAAGAAATTGCAGTGAACAAAAGAGGCAACAGTTGCCTCTGGGTTTGAGTGACAAAAACCAACATAATGATCAAGTCAATATGTCCGTGTTCATATCACTCAATGGGGCACGAAGCCCATTTTATTTTATTTTTTAAAAAATCTAATAACCTGGTTCCTTTCCTTTCTTGGGTTTTGCTTTTTATTCCCAATCTGCTTCTGCCTTAGATTTTCTGCCAGTCTCAACTGGCATTTGTTGATATAGGTTCACCGACAAATGCGCGCTCGACAAAAACACACCGATGAAACCGCAGCAAGAAAACCGCGAGGTCAAAATCGCGCCAACGAATGCACGCAGAAGCGCACTCACAACAGCATGCCGACAAAAGCATGGCTTCAACAAACAGCTAATAACAACATAATAACCCTAACGCTAACCCTAATCCTAACCCTAACCCTAACCCTTACCTTAACTTAAATCGTACTTTTGTGGAGGCGGTTTTGTCGGCGCGTTGTTGTGGGTGCGTTTATGACATCGCGGTTTTCTCAGCGTGGTTTTGTTGGTGCGCTTTTGTCATGCGCACATTTGTCGGGTCACAGTTGATATATACTCAGCTCTCTGTGTGTGTGTGTGTGCATGTGTGCAGAATGCAAGATTGCCCTTTGCTTTTTGTTTTGTTTTACAGTGGCATTGAGACAAGTGTCACTGTATGAGAGTTCATGAATAGACATGGTAACAGGTCAGCCAATTGGGACAGTTTGATGACCCAGACAGCTCGGAGCCTGGGCGTGGCTTAGTTTGACTGATCTGTATATGTATAAGAGTTGCTTCTGCGAATATTGCTTCTGTGTTTCTGTGCTCCTGATTTTGTATTCTGTCTTCTGTGATTGTTTACATGCATTTGCTTTATATTATTGTATATAATATACTGTATATATGTGACCCGACAAAAGCGCGCAGGACAAAAGTGCACCGACAAAACTGTGGCGCATAAACCACGACATCATCAACACACCAACAACAGTGCACCAACAACAGCACACCAACAACAGTGCACCGACAGAAGCGCGATTTAAGTTAAGGTAAGGGTTAGGGTTAGGGTCAGGGTCAGGGTTAGGGTTAGGGTTAGGGCACGCTTCTATTGGCGCGCTGTTGTCGGCGCGCTTCAGTGCTAATTCGTCGGCGCGGTTTAGAACTCGCAGTTTGGTCACCGCGGTTTCATCGGGCGCCCTTTTGTCGGGCGCCCATTTGTCGGTGAACCCTGTATATATTTATGTACAATATATATGGTATATATTATATATAAAGAAGTTTCTTACTTAAATGAATCCTGCTGAATTATTTACTTGTGTGTTGATTGGATTGCTACAAACTCTAACATCAGGTGTCTACAATGGCCACAGCAT